GCTAACAGGAGCTGCAGATAACAGGCCAGTGCCGTCTCCCCGCAAACCAAGGGCGCCTCCAGAGCACAGCCTCACAGCAGGTCTGCTCGGACCACTGCTGAAGGGGGAGGGGACCGCCCTTTACTCACTTTCCTTCCATTCCCTGAGGCCTTGGAGGCTTCTGGGTTCATGCCCAGTGCAGGGGGCTGGTGCCCTCATAGGGGAGTACAGGGCAGTGCTGGGGGCTGGGGGCCCTCACAGTGGGGGTGCAGGGCAGTGCAGGGGGCTGGGGCCCTCACAGTGGGGTGCAGGGTAGTGCTGGGGGCTGGGGGCCCTCACAGTGGGGTGCAGGGTAGTGCTGGGGGCTGGGGGCCCTCACAGTGGGGTGCAGGGTAGTGCTGGGGGCTGGGGGCCCTCACAGTGGGGTGCAGGGTAGTGCTGGGGGCCCTCACAGTGGGGTGCAGGGTAGTGCTGGGGGCTGGGGGCCCTCACAGTGGGGTGCAGGGTAGTGCTGGGGGCTGGGGGCCCTCACAGTGGGGTACAGGGCAGTGCTGGGGGCTGGGGGCCCTCACAGGGGGGTGCAGGGCAGTGCTGGGGCCTGGGGCCCTCACAGGGGGGGTGCAGGGCAGTGCTGGGGGCTGGGGCCCTCACAGGGGGGTGCAGGGCAGTGCTGCACTGTCACTGGGGTGGGGAGCGGGGTGGCGGAGAGCTGGGCTGGGGCCGGTGGAGTTCGGGCCCTCCAGTGGGTCTGTGCGAAGGCCCCTGGGGCTCTGAGAGGAACTGGCTGCAGGTGAAGGTGCCCCTTCAGCAGAGGCGGTGGTCATGTGACCTAATCTCCGGAGCAGGAGCTCGGAAAGGAAAGGTTCTGCCGAGCCCGGACTTCACGGGGGTGGAGTGCAGTGCTGTTTCAGTGGCTGCTTCCGTAGTGTCTCCTCCAGCAGGAAACCGCCCCGAAGGTGCTCGCTCCCTGCGGCCGCGGACGGAGCGGTGTGTGCACGGGCCCTGGGCCCTGGGTGCTGTGGACGGAGCGGTGTGTGCACGGGCCCTGGGCCCTGGGTGCCGCGGAGGAGCGGTGTGTGCACGGGCCCTGGGCCCCGGGTGCCGCGGACGGAGCGGTGTGTGCACGGGCCCTGGGCCCTGGGTGCTGTGGACGGAGCGGTGTGTGCACGGGCCCTGGGCCCTGGGTGCCGCGGAGGAGCGGTGTGTGCACGGGCCGTGGGGCCCGGGTGCCGCGGACGGAGCGGTGTGTGCACGGGTCCTGGGCCGCCGGTGCTGCTCCCCGCTGAGCGGACCTGCCCTGGCTGACGCTGGGCTGTGGCCGTCTCAGGCCCATGGGGCAGGGGGCGAGAAGGGGTTGCTTTTGTGTTGTACTTTGTGATACAATTAACACATGCTCATTACAGGGCTTTTAGATAGAAAGCTACGGAGAAGGGAAACACCAGCCCAAGAACCAACCCAGTGTTAATCTGTTGTTATCGTTTTTTAGTCATTTTTGGTGCGTTTTCATACAGCTATATAATTTTATACAAACAATTTAGTGTCTCACCTTGTAAAACGAAAGTGTGAGCTTTGTAGTGGGCCTGGAAGTTTGGGGGGACTTAGGCAAGGGGGCTACCGCCCAGGGCGGGAACACATCCACAGAAGGAGCCAGGAGCTGGTTTTATCAGATGCAAGTGTTACTGCCCCGGCTCCTTCCCCTCCCATCTGCATGAAACAATTCCTTCCTTTCCTTTACTTTTAGTCTGTGTGTATCTTTCCTTCTGAGCTGTGTCTCTTGAAGACAACATATGCACGAGTCTTGTTTTCTTACCCACTCTGCTACCCTATGCCTTTTAATTAGAACATCCAGGCCATTTACGTTCAAAGTGATTATTGTTAGGTACAAGTTTATTGCCATTTCTTTTATTTTTATTTTCAAAAATATATATTTTTATTGATTTTAGAGAGGAAGGGAGAGGGGGAGAGAGATAGAAACATGATGAGAGAGAATAGCAGATCTACTATCTCAATGAGAGATAATCATTGATTGGCTACCTCCTGCATGCCCCCTATGGGGGATTGAGCCCACAACCCCAGGCATGTGCCCTTGGCCAGAATAAAATCTGGGACCCTTCAGTCCGCAGGCCAACGCTCTATCCACTGAGCACCCTGGCTAGGGCACCATTTTATTTTTTTTAACTATGTTCTTCCCTGCCCCCCCCCCCTTTTCTTCTGCTTCTTAAAGCAAGCCCTTTAAATTTTCACATAACAAACTCCTTTAGCTTTTTGTAATCTGGAGATCGCTGTATTTCTCCTTCAATTTTAACTGATAGCCTTCGTGGGTGAAGTAGCCTTGGTTGTAGGCCCTTGTTTTTCATCCTTTTGAGTATTTCATGCCCCTTTCTTCTGGCCTGAAATGTTTCTGTTGTCAAATCAGCTGACAGGCCCAAACCGGTCTGGCTCAGTGAATAGAGTGTCAGCCTTCGGATTGAAAGGTCCCAGGTTCGATTCTGGTCAAGGTAGCTTGGTTTTGGTCACATGCCCAGTGGTGGATGTGCAAGGAGGCAGCTGATCTCTCATTGATGTTTCTAACTCTCTATTCCTCTCCCTTCCTCTCTGTAAAAAATCAATAAAATATATTTTTAAAAAATCAGCTGACAGTCTATGCAAGCTCCCTTGTAAGTAATCAGCTGCCTTTCTCTCACTGCTTTCAAGATTCCCTCTTTGTCTTTAATCTTTGCCATTTTAGTTGTGGAGTGTGTTGGTGTGGGCCTCATCTTGTTCTGACTCTCTGTGCTTCCTGGACTTGTATGTCATTGCCTTCACCAGAGTGGGAGTTCTTGGGTCATTATTCCTTCAAATAGGTTCTTGATTCCTTGCTCTTTCTTTCCTCCTTCTGGTGCCTCTATGCTGCGGATATTGTTGTGTTTCACGTCCCAAAGTTCCCTTAAGCTAACCTCATTTTTAAAGTCTTTTTCCTCTTTGTGATTGTCTTTTTCCTATCTTGTCTTCCAAATCACTGATTCAGTCCTCTGCTTCATCCAGCCTACTTTTTATTCTTTTCAGTGTATTCTTGTTGTCAGATATGGTATTCTTCTTTCCTGACTGGCTCCGTTTCGTGGTTTCTATGTTCTGTTTTATGCTGCTGTAGTTCTCATTAAGTACCTCGAGGGTCCTTATTACCATTACTTTGATCTCTTATCTCTGATGGATTGCTTGCTTCCATTCATTTAGCTCTTTTTCTGGAGATTCCTCTGTTCTTTCATTTGGGGCCTGTTTCTTTGTCTCGCCATTTTGCTGTCTAGTAGGTGTAGTAGGTGTCCTGTGGGCCCCGTGGTGCAGTCTCCTTGCCCGCTGAGCTGGATGCACCAGGGATGCTAGGTGGGTTCTGTGGGCCCTCCGGTTGCAGTTGAGTTGATTGCTGTTGGCCTGTTCATGGGACCAACCCTCAGGCTGTCTAACTGTGGCGCCGAACCCCCAACCATGGTATGTGAGCTGTTGTACAGATGCTGACGAAAAAATAAAAAAATAAAAATAATAATAACATAAAAAGGAATAAAAAGAATATGAAAGGAAAGAATGAAAAGGATAAGAAAAAATCATAAGAAAAGAAAAAACAATAAGAAAAATAAAATAAAGAAATAGAAAGGAAAAACTTGGAAAAGAAAGAAGTGGCACGCACCTCCTCAGAGTTTGCTAGTGCTGCTGCCATGAGCAGGAGTTTGCTGGATCCCGCTCCAGGGCTGGCTGAAGCTGGACGCTTGGTGTGCTGCTTTGGCCATTTTGGGAAGGGCTGCGGTGCAGGCCAGTGTCAGACGCTGCCGTGTGCCTGGTGCACAGTATGGCTGCCTCTGCTGGGCCTGGCTGCACACAGGAAGGACCGAGCGGTGCCCCAAGGCCAGCTGTTACAGTGCTGGGCCCTGGGGCAGCTCGGCACAAGCACGAGGCACCCTGCCACCTGCCTCTGCCTTCCTTGTGGGCGGCTGCCGGTTAGGCTCCTTCACTGAGACAGCCTCTGGCGGTGGGCTTCCTGAGGGGAGGTGCATTCAGCCTTCAGGGAAGGTGGTGGGATGATCCCACCCCAGAACCACGTGGCTGAGTCTGTCCGGATTTTGCCCTGACCTCGCAGGCGGATCCTCTATGCTCAGCACAGGGCCTCCGGAGCCCCGAGGCGGGCCTGCCGGGCGGGGAGGGTGTTTCTGTGGGATCTCCTGCGATGGGGAAGCACCGGTCTGGTTCACAGTGGGTATAAAGCCTCACCTCAAACCCAGGCACTGACACCCAAAGTCTGCCCAGACTTCTGCTCCGTGCTCTGCGCAGCTGACTCCGTGCAGGGTGGGGTGGGAGGGACTCCTGGGGGCGGGGTAATCCTTTCCCCCAGGCCATGCTCTCAGAGGGGATTGCCCCGCCCAGAAGGTGCTGCTGCGGTCTCCGAGAATGACTGGCAGCTGTTTCGCCCCCCTCCCCCCCTCCCCCCCCCCCCCCCCCGCATCTCCCTAGAACCACAAACCCCACACTCTGCTCAGGGACTGCAGCCCGCACCACCCTCCCTCCTAAAGTTTGCTCCTGAAGGGGGAGCGGGTGTCTCCAGCAGACTCGCCTCCCCTTGGTGAACAGGAACCCTGCTGCTTTCCTAGCTGGATGCTATGCTCTTCCCAGCTCTGGTGCTCCGGGCTGGTAGCCTCTGGGCTGAGAGCCTGGCCTGGGTTAGACCTCACACTTCTCAGGGGAAAGCCCCGTAGCTAAGATCTCTCTCCAGCACCTCAGCTGCCGCTGGCGTGGGGCAGTCCCTCTTACATCTCCACCCTTCCTACAGTCTCAGTGTACCTTCTGCTGCAAATCCTTGGTTACTAGTATAAGACTCCTCTTCAGCTAGTTCCCAGTTGGTTACTCAGGGTGACTGTTCCCCAATTTACTTGTATTTCCAGTTTGGTTTGGCGAGGAGATGAGTTCAAGATTCATCTACTGCCGTCTTGAAAGTCTCTGGAATAGTAACATTTCTAATTTTTGTTTTTCTTTCATTCCTGTTTCTCTAGGAGAATATGAAAGTGTTACTCAGGCTTGTTTGTTTCATAGCTCTACTGATTTCTTCTCTGGAAGCTGGTAAGTTAAGCATTTCCTTGTGTTATTATCTGCTAAGAGAATCTATTGTTTAGAATACATGAAGTACCTTATCTAACAGAATCATTTTTCTTTTCTTTTCTGTTGAATCCCAATACACAGAGCCTCCTGGTCACAGAACTGTACTGATGAGTATTCTTTCAGCATCTTCTCATTCTCTTGTTTACATATTTGGAAACAGGCCCAGTGAGTTAAGAGCCCAAGGCCTTATCTCTAGTTTCAGAGCGAGAATTAAAATCCAGCTCTCCAGTGTCTGTCCAGGCCTCTTTCCCACTGTATTGCTGGTCAAAGAGTATAATACAGGAACTCCTGGCTTTCATTAGGAAGAGGCGTTAAATGTAGTATTAATGAATCCTCAGCTGAAAGCCATCAAGAGACAGTTCTTTCTTTTCTCCGTTTATTCATTTTCACTCTGTCCCTCTTCCTCCTTTTACTACAAAGTGCCAGGCGCTAGGTGCTGAGTGAATGAGCAAGGTACAGAAGTGAATGAACAAGACAGAAAATCTGACTGCAGGAGGTCTATATTCCAGTGGGTTTAGAAAATAGACCTTTATTATGTTATTGGTGATAAATGTAGAGATAAACAGCAGGAAAGGGAGATAAAGTTTTGGGCCTGGCCAATGTGGCTCAGTGGTTGAGCATCGAGCTGTGAACCAGAAGGTCATGATTCGGTTCCCAGTCAGGTTGCAGGCTCAATCCCTAGTGGGGGCGTGCAGGAGGCAGCTGATCAGTGATTCTCTCTCATCATTGATGTTTCTATCTCCCTCTTCCTTTCCCTTCCTTTGGAAATCAATAAAAATGTATTAAAAAATGAAGTTTTAGGAATGTGTGGGTGGCAGAAAGTTAAGTTTTTTGATAGTGTGACCAGAGAATACTTACTGAGAAGTTGATTTTTGAGTCACACCTCACGCTGGGGATGGGGAAACAGTGCAGGCGGATGGGCTGAGACCCCAAGGAACTGCATGCTCCGGACACTCAGTACCATCGTGGTGGGAGCCAAGGGAGCAATGAGGGCAGTGATAAGGGATGAGGTTATTTGGTTAATAATATATGTCACTGCAGCTATGCTAACTAAGATGATGTTGGAAGTTGTTTATTTGATTTAGCAACTTAAAAGTCATAGGAGACATTGATCAGATCAATTTTGGTGGATGGGTGGGTCAAACCCCAGATACATAGAATTAAGTGTATGTCTAGCTGAGACCTTACTTTATTTTATTCTTTTTGTTACTATTACTAGAGGCCTGGTGCACGAAATTCGTGCATGGGGGTGGGAGGTGACCCTCAGCTCAGCCTGCACCCTCTCCAATCTGGGACCCCTCAGGGGATGTCCAACTGCCCATTTAGGCCTGATCCCATCGGATATCCAACTAGCAGTCGGATATCTCTCACAATCCAGGACTGCTGGCTCCCAACTACTCACCTGCCTACCTTCCTGATTGCCCCTAACCACTTCTGCCTGCCAGCCTGATCACACTCTAACCACTCACCTGGCAGCCTGTTTGACCCTAACTGCCCTCCTCTGCAGGCCTGGCCACTTCTAACTGCCCTCCCCTGCAGGCCTGGGCCCCCCCTCCCAACTTCCCTTCCCTGAAGGCCTGGTAACCCCCAACTTTCCTCCTCTGCCAGCCTGGTCACCCCTAACTGCCCTCCCCTGCAGGTTTGATCACCCCCAATTGCCCTCCATTGCAGACCTGGTACCTCCCAACTGCCCTCCCCTGCTGGCCATCTTGTGGTGGCCATCTTGTGTCCACATGGGGCAGCCATCTTTGACCACATGGGGGCAGCTATTGTGTGTTGGAGTGATGGTCAATCTGCATATTACTCTTTTATTAGATAGGATAGAGGCCTGGTGCATGAGTGGGGGCCAGCTGGTTTGCCCTGAAGGGTGTCCCGGATCAGGGTGGGGTTCCCTTGGGGTTTGGGGCGGCCTGGATAAAGGGCCTGTGGTGGTTTTCAGACCAGCCATACTCCCTGGCGACCCAAGTGGAGGCCCTGGTATCTGGACTTTATTTACCTTCTACAATTGAAACTTTGGTTACCTGGAGCCGAGCCAAGCCTCCTGCTTGCTCTGTGGCTGCTGCCATTTCTGTTTGGATTTGTTTTCCTTCTATAAGTGAAACTTTGTAGTCTTGAGTGGAGGCCTAGGCCAGCAAGGGCAGATGGAAAGCTTGTCTTATCTTCCACCGTTGCCTGGGAAACCCAAGCCTCCCTCCTGCTCTCTGTGGCTGGTAGCCATTTTGGTTGGGTTTATTTGCATACTTGCTCTGATTGGCTGGTGGGCATAGCTGGTGGGCATGGCTTGTAGCAGAGTGATGGTTAATTTGCATATTACTCTTTCATTAGTTAGGACTAGAGGCCCAGTGCATGAAATTCATTTATGAGTAGGGTTCCTAGGCCTGGCCAGCAATCAGGGCTGATCTATCGGGCCACCAGCATGGTGATTGGGGCCTCCACTCACACCCGCCTTGGCCTGCCACTGCCCACTCACCAGCCCTGCCTCCTGCCACTGCCACCAGTCACTTCCCTCTGTGGGGTGATAAGTGGAACAATTGGGGAGCCCTGCTCTCATCTGCTTTGGCTGTCCTGGCACTGCCCACTCGCCAGCCCCCCTTCCCACCCTCCCACTGGTTGCTCCCCTCTGTGTGGCAACCAGTGGGGTAATCTGGGGGCCTTTCTCACATCTGCCTTGGCTGGCCTAGTGCCACCCACTTACCAGCCCTGCCCCCCCCCCACCACTGCTGGTCAGGGCCTATGGGCTGGGGGAAACTCCTGCATTGAGCGTCTGTCCCCTTGTTGTCACTGCACATCATAGTAACTGGTCATTTGGCCAGTCATTGGCCATTTGGTTGATTGACATATTAGGGTTTTAAAGAGATAAATATAAATATAGATTTCTGTTGATTTTGCTACTGCTATTTTCGTTATCTAAATACTTAGGAGTCCTCACTCTGTACAGTTCTATGCTAAGTACCTAGCCCCTTTTTATTTCAATTCTGTGTTTCTTTTAGCAGCTTGAGTTAATAACTGACATACAATAAACCACTCATGTTTAAAGAATACAATTTGGTGTGTTGACATACATTTCCACTCTTGAAATCATCACAGTGAAGATAATGAATATATACTCACTGCTTTCTGAAGTTTCCTGTTGATCTGTGGTTCCTGTAGTGTATGGCTATTTAAGTCTCTGCTTGATCATCTAATGATTGGTCAGAAATTTCCTTAAACTATTTGATCCAATAAGCCTTCTACCCTTTGCTGAGGGGCCATGTGTGTGTTGAGGTATGCCTTCAACACCCAGGCTGCTCACAACTCTTAGTCTTCACTTCCTGCTGTGCTTGACTTTAAGGTCATCCATATTTAGGAAACTGGTGCCTTCTCTGGTCTTCCCTAGGAATGTACACAGCCTGCATGCAGAGACACTTTTCTAGATTACCCAGGCATATATTAGAGCTTTCTGAATCTCTTTCTTTCATTTAGTTCCCCAGATATTATTTTTCCTTTTGGCCAGACTTTTGTTTGTGTCAATGGTATCATGGCTGCAGGCAGCCACTGATTAATTTTTTTAAACAAACACTCTTGGGATAGCACTTCTTGTGAAGCTCTGGGCCAGGACAATAATACTATTCTGTGAGGGTGACTTTTCCAGAGTTCCCATTCAGGTCAAATTGTGGCAATGCTCAGGAATGGTACTTTTTAAGGGGCTCCAAACCTGGTTTACTTTTTTTTTTTTTTTTTTAAATCCTATATAATAAAAGAGTAATATGCAAATTAACCACTACTCCATGAGAAAGATGGTGGCAGCCATAGTGGCTGGGGTGGAATGCTGGTGGCGTCACCCTAATATGCAAGTGTGCCTACAGACAGCTCCCAGCAGGACCTGCTTCCCCATAGCCGTAATGTGGAGCAGGCAGGACCCACAGAGAACAGAGAACCATGGGAGCAGGCCTAAGCCATCAGTAGTACATCCCTAAGAGCTCCCAGATTGGAGAGGAGGAATGTACGAATTTTGTGCACTAGGCCTCTAGTTTTAAAATAAATGTTCTGATTGTTGCATCCCTTTGATTTTGAAAATTGTCCAGCCTTTAAAAATTTTTTTTATTGATTGTGGTATTATATGTGTCCTTATTTCCCTATTACCCCCAACTCCTCCCCCCATTCATGCCCTTAACCCCCTGTTGTCTGTGTTCATTTGTTAGGCTTATATGCATGCAATATAAGTCCTTTGTTGATCTCTCCCCCTTACTCCCACTCTCTCCTACCTTCCCTGAGGCTTGATATTCTGATTGATATTTCTCTGTCTCTGGATCTGTTTTTGTTCATCAGTTTATGTTGTTTATTATGTTCCATAAATGAGTGAGATCATCTGATAGTTACCTTTCTCTGCCTGGCTTATTTCACTTAGTATAATGCTCTCCATCTTCATCCATGTTGTTGCAAATAGTAAAAACTCCTTCCTCTTTACCACAGCCTAGTATTCCATTGTGTAGATGTATCACGGTTTTTTAATCCACTCATCTGCTGATGGGCACTTAGGCTGTTTCCAATTCTTAGCTGTGGTGAATTTTGCTGCTATGAACATAGAGTTGGTTGAATATATCCTTCCTGATTCATGTTTCTAGTTCCTTGGGATATATTCATAGAAGTGGGATCACTGGGTCAAATGAGAGTTCCATTTTCAGTTTTTTTTAGGAAATGCCACACTGTTCTCCAGAGTGGTTGCACTGGTCTGCATTCCCACAAGCAGTGCACGAGGGTTCCTTTTTCTCCTCATCTTCTCCAGCACTTGTCATTTGTTGATTTGTTGATGATAGCCATTCTGACAGGTGTGAGATGGTGCAGCATTGTTGTTTTGATTTGCATCTCTCAGATGATTAGTGACTGAGCAAGTTTTCATATGTCTCTTGGCCTTCTGTATGTCTTCTTTCAAAAAGTATCTATTTAGGCTTGTTACCTAATTTTTGATTGGGTTAACTTCA